GGCGTGCGAAACGGCCAATCGTAGCGAAAGTTACCATTTGTCGAAGCAGACCGTTTCAAAATATATAAACGATTTTTCTTATTTTTTGTCTCCATATTGCGGGATTATTACGGGAAGTCAAACGAAATCGAAATATTACATTTTTAATACCATTTCAAAGTACTCATGACCTAATTTCATCCATCTCTAACGGCGTGCGAAACGACCAATCGTAGAGAAAGTTACCATTTGTCGAAGCAGGCCGTTCCAAAATTATATTAAATTATATTCCATAGGGACCATTTCTACAAATTACCAAAAGGTTCTAACGAATATTTAACGGTTTATGGATGGAAGGACTGATTCCATAAGTGACGTTTGAAATAAGGGTACAAATGCCAATTTTAAAACGATATGGACCATTTTAGCAAAGAGTGTAAACGTTGGGGGACCATTTATGCTAATTACCCATCTAATTATTTCAATAGTACCTTACTTTTCGTTTTTCATTATATATTTAATTGAATATTAATTATTAGACACTCACGCAAATAAATAATTGAATTGTACGAGAACAATTAAATTGATTTATGAACATGAAATTTAATTAATTTGAATCAATAAATATAGAAAAAGAATACTGTATATATATTTAAACAAATGTAGTGTAAGTGAACCAACATGATATTTAATTAATTTGAGTTAATAGATATACAAAAAAATAATAATTTATATGAGTAGTGCTACGGGCAGGGATGTTTGCGCAAGGAATGCGCAGAAACAACTTTAAAAAAAAATTTCCCAAAAAGGGTCTACAAGTAATTTCCAACTAAATAAATAATAAAGAATATCAATGCACAGTGCTCCTTCCGAAACCCAGTTGGCGGCACATTTCTCCAGCATCATTTCGAGCAGCACCAGCATTTCTTGTTCATCTGTTCGTCTCTCTCATTTCACTTGTTCAGCACTAAAAATATTTTCTCAATAGATGGAGAAAATGAAGGAGCATGCATCTCCTATAACACCTCCTATTGCAGATCCATCAACAATTCTTACAACCCAGGTTTGTTCCTTTAAATTGTCCTCTTAATTTTCACCATTTTTCTAATCAATTTAAAACATGGATGTGTTTTGTGGGTGTAAATTGTAGGAAAATCTAATGCCTCAATTTCACTCATCAGTTAACCCATCGATTGGTTTACACTTCGCTAGTTCAAGCAATGTAGAAGAGACATTGAGTGCCACACCTGACTCAAGTGAGGTTGAAAGTTTGTCTACACCCACCGTTCCAACTACTGTTGAATCCACAGATGATGATCATGAGTGTGAGATACAGAATACTATTAAGGAGCCCTCTGTGGGGATGATGTTTAAATCCATAGAAGAATTATTTTTGTATTATAAGAAATATGGGAAACAATGCGGTTTCGGGGTAAGTACGCAGAGTAGTAAGAGGTTTAAGGATGGGACTCTCAGATATGTCACACTTGGTTGTTGCCGTGGAGGGAAGGCACGGAATCGAACATCAAATGTCGCCAGGCCACGTCCGACATCAAAAACAGAATGCAAGGCAAAGATAAATGCTACATTTGTTGATGGGTTGTTGACATTGTTAAGCGTACACAATGACCACAACCATGGCCTAAGTCCACAAAAATCAAGATTCTTTCGCTGCAATAGAGAAGTGAGTGAGTATGTAAAAAGAGTCTTAGATACTAATGATAAGGTGGGGATCTGAGCAAATAAGAGTTTTGCCTCTCTCGCGCATGACGCTGGTGGGTATGAAAAGTTGTCATTCTCAGAGAAAGACTGTCATAATTACATTAACAAGGCACGTCACATCCGAATTGGGAAAGGTGGTGCTGGAGCCCTCCGTGAATATTTTGCTAGGATGCAATACAAGCATAATGCATTTTTTTCACTAATGGATTTCGATGATAACGGTAGATTAAGGAATGTTTTTTGGGCAGATGCACGAAGTAGAGCAGCGTACAAATATTTTGGCGATGTCGTCACATTCGACACTACTTATTTGACAAATAGGTATAAGATGCCATTTGCACCGTTTGTGGGGGTAAACCATCATGGCCAATCAATTCTTTTGGGGGCAGGATTGATTTCTAATGAGGATACTGAAACTTTTACATGGTTGTTTGAAACTTGGTTAAATTGTATGGATGGTAATGCTCCGAAGGCTATTATCACGGATCAAGATAGAACAATGAAAAATGCCATTGCTATTGTCTTTCCCAATAGTCGACATAGATTTTGCTCATGGCACATACTAAAAAACTACCTGAGAAGTTAGGTTCCCACAAAGCATATAAAAGCGGGTTGAAAAGTCAATTGCTCAAGTGTGTGTATGACTCACAGACCATTGACAAGTTTGAAAAATGTTGGGACATGTTACTTACAACTTACAACTTGCAGGACAGTGTCTGGTTGCAATCTTTATACACTGAGCGTACCTATTGGGCACCAGTATTCCTTAAAGATTATTTTTGGGTTGGAATGAGTACAACCCAACGAAGCGAAAGCATGAATGCTTTCTTTGATGGGTATGTTCATGCTAAGACAAACTTAAAAGAGTTTGTTGATCAATTCGATAATGCATTAAGGAAGAAGATTGAGAATGAAAATGAGGCGGACTTCCAGTCATTCAACTTCAAAATCCCAATCGTAACTGTCTCTCCATTCGAGAAGATATTTCAGGATTTGTATACAAATTCTAAATTTAGAGAAGTTCAAAAAGAAGTAATGGGGATTGTTGGTTGTCTTCCAGTTCTACAACAAAAAAATGGTGTAATTTCAACTTATCATGTTGAAGATGAAATCCATGTGGATGATTTCATTAAAGAGGTTAGTCATTCTGTGTACTTTAATGAGGCTGAGTGCGATGTGAAGTGTTCGTGCGGATTGTTTGAGACGAGGGGTATATTGTGTAGACATGTATTTGCCACTCTGAAGGTTAATCGAGTTCGTACGTTGCCCGATAAGTACATATTGGACCGGTGGAGAAAAGATATAAAAAGAAAGTATACTCTGATAAGTAGTAGTTATGATGTTACTGATGTGAGGCCAGATGTGAGTAGATATTCACGTATAATGAAGATATGTGGTGACGTTGCAAGTAATGCAGCTTCATGTGATGTACATGCTCAAGATATGATTGACAAATTGCATGCAATGAACAAGGGCTATCTCACCAACAAGTCGTCAATCCAAACTTGTTCAAACGTTGGAATTCCAACAGTAGATACAACTACAGGTACGAGTTCGACTCAAGTAAAAAGTCCCCATGTTGTGAGAGGCAAAGGCAGACCACCATCTCTGAGAAGAGCTCCCTTGATGGAGAAAGTGTGCAAACCCAAAACGAAAAATGCAACACAAAAAGGAAAAGGAAAACAGGTAATTAATCCTTAACTGCTTTTGTTATATTGCCTTACATTGTTTTTTATAAACATAACATGGTTTTATTTTTTGTTCGTAGTCACATGGAGGAGACGCTGAAGTTGTTGACATCCGTAAAGATTTTTTTGGAGAAACATTGGTTGGGACTCAAGAGAGTATTCTCAAATAGTTTCATAATATACAACATTCCAAATTTTAATGAGTTTGGTCTCTAAAACAAATCAGCTTTCATCTTCTGCATGTCTTGCTTCCACTTTGGCAATTTAATGACTTTGGTCTCTAAGACAAATCAATATTCTTTTTCTGCATGTCTTGTTTCCACTTTGGTTATAAAATGTTTCTTTGGTCATCCCCAATGCAGTTTGGAACTCCTCACCCGACAGATAAGCCTGGAAATTCAGGAAAGAAATTAATATTAATCACAATCCTGCACTCATACTTGCAAGTACTAAACAAACTCCACAGTAAATGGTTTCATGTCATTGTCAACCATATATTGTTTGTGGGCAATGACTCAATTTCAACAGCTGGTTGGGCATTCAATCACATTGCAGCACTCCTTGTATGCAAGATGCTGCTTACTATCCACATCATATATCAAGAGAAGACTAAAAACATATAACCAAACTATTTCCAATACTTAAGCGTTCAATTGTCCATACATATTGAGCAACTAAGCTAAAATAGATGCAGTTAAATATGAGTTGCAATAGTATATAGAAACTAAAAGCAGAGAGAGTTAACATGAAACTAAGCATCTACTTCACCACTTCACAGCCTCTACTCTGTCGCAGCCAAAACACACTATCACTGACAATGAAAAACATCAAAATAGAAGCAGTAACTCATCTGAGAAACTAATAAAATACTAATAAATCCAAACATACATGGATAAAACGAATTATGAAATTTATCCATACAGACATGCATTAATAAACACCTCCATTACAAAATTTATCCTAAAATTTATCATTATGAAAGCCTAAAATAATACACTATTATTTGTATGGATAGAATAAAATGCCCCTCCATTACAGAATCTAAGTAGCAAATCGGCAATGTTCAAGGGGTTGTTTCCCCTGCTATTTGAATTCAAAGCAAACAAGGCAGCTCATAATCAGTTTCGGTCAAGAACAAAACGTAATCAAGGGCCGTTTCCCCTGCAGCTATTATACCCGGTAATTTCAAGAATTTTTCAAGAATTTTAAACCTGGTAATAACATATAATAGCATCCCAAATCATATGAATTTACCTGCTATTCTTGCAAAGCTGCAAGGTAGACGACGAAGCACAGCCTTGTTTGGTTGCGACAGAGAAATGAAAGGAGGTTAGGGTTCGGCATAGAGGAGAGTGTAGGTGGGGGAGAGTGGAATTTTGGAGATTAGGGTTGGAGATCTGGGCAACGGAACGCACCGTTTTATTTTACCTGCGCAAACATCCCTGCACCCATCATTTTCCTTTTTTATTCTTTCTTTCTTTGCTTTGCTTGCCCAAGTTGCTTAGTTTAAATTAATGTAAGTATTTTGGAGAACTAATACTTTGTGAAAATTGCAGGCTCTAGGAACAGAATTACAAAAATTTCAATTATATTCATATATAATAATATTTCTTTTAAATACAAAGAGATACCTTAGTTCACCAAGATAACAAGATAGTTGGAAAAAATAGTGCGGTGTGACTCGAGCAAACAAAATTGAACTAGAGAAAATAACAAGTTTGAATATGTACAACCGTCATTCTACACCCCACGTAAAAAATAAAAAAAAAATGGAGCAATGGATGAAATGGAGTTTTAGCCCCCGTTTAGGCCACCTTTTTATCTCATTAAAATGAAAAATATGACCGTTATCCTTCATATCAACATTTAAATTCAAATTTTCTATCTTTTACATGGGCTCCAATAACGGCTATATTTTTCATTCACATTTTACAAAAGGTTGACTCAAACATGGTCTAAGATTGTCTCTATTTTGAGAGAAAATTTATAGTCGAAAACCCGATTCTTATTGTCACTATTCAACTGATATATGTATTTTTCATATGAGCTTAATAGCACAAAACGTCCTTGCGTTTGGCATGTAGTGTGCAAAACATCCATATGTTTCATTTTTTTTTGTATTTTCGCTCTTATTTCAACGTTTCATTGCGGAAAACGTTATTTTCACTGTTTTTTAGTGTAAAATGACCAATATACTATTCTATATAAATAAAACACAAAAAAAGGAAAAGAAAAATAAAAAATAAATTGTAATTATACTCCCAAACTTTTTAAAAAGTGCAAGTGAGTCCAAAATCCTTATTAAAAGGTTTAAGCACAAAACGTCCCTAAGATTGACATATAATACGGAAAGCGTACCTATGTTTCAAACATATTTATATTAGCTCAANTTTTGAACTTATTTGCAATTTTTAAAAAGTTTGGGAGTATAATTGTAATTTATTTTTTTATTTTTATTTTTTGTTTTATTTAAATATGAGAGTATATTGGTCATTTTACATTCAAAATAGTGAAAATGGCGTTTTCCGCAATGAAACGTTGAAATAAGGACGAAAATACGAAATAAATGAAACGTAAGGACGTTTTACGCAATAAGTGTCAAAAGTAGGGACTTTTTGTGCTATTGAATCAAGTACAAAAAGTTTGAAACGTAAGGACGTTTTTTGAAATAAGTGTCAAATGTAGGGACTCACTTGCACTTTTTAAAAAGTTTGGGAGCATAATTACAATTTTTTTTTTATTTTTATTTTCCTTTTTTATTTTATTTATATAGAATGGTATATCGATCATTTTACACTAAAAAGTGAAAAAGACGTTTTCCGCAATGAAACGTTGAAATAAGGGCGAAAATACAAAAAAAAATGAAACGTGGGGACGTTTTGCACACTACATGCCAAACGTAGAGACGTTTTGTGCTATTAAGCCTTTTCATATGTACAAAAATGTAAGATATAATTTATGAATAGAAATTTTTTTTCCTTTTATGTTTCCGTACAAGTTAACTTTCGAAGCTTAGCCAAACGAGGTATTGCCAACGTACACTATAGAGATGCTTACTGGTTTTGCTATGGGTTGTTCCATTTCCATGAAGAAAGCTTTAAAATCCCATTCATCATTCCTTTCGTTGAGAATTACGAAACGATTTATCAAGTTTCCACCTCTCACATCAATCGATCTCCCTGATGAATAGACTCCAAATGCTCACAGATTTTCGCATGCTGCAAATAACTGTGAGTATATAGTTACCGTATTAAATATTTGTGGAATTTAATTAATAAGAAATTACTGGATTGAAAACGAAGCAGGATAAGAATTAATTGAGGTTCGATACGTCATGATTTAGGAGAATTAGGAATAAGAAAGAGACAATTGGAGTAGAATTCTTTAGATTGATTTTCCATTTTGTGCATTTGTTTGTGTGTTTAAGTGTATGTTTATGTCTTTAAGATGGGTTTTAAGGCAAGATATAAGTTCATTCGGCGCCTATTTGCAACTAATATTGAGTGATATTTCGTGTTAAATACAAACTGTTACTGCAAGGGTGCAAATGAATTAGAACTTAGGTATTTTATTGTGTTTTGTGCAAGACTTTTTACTTATCTACGACTCTTTGAAAATCTCAAGCCTTATCTAACACGGCCAAACTAGATTTCTTGAAGTTATGCAAATGAGAAGTTCCCCTTGCATTTGTTAGTGTGTATGATGCACCGACACGAACTCGTCTATCTGACACGATACTTGTCAGATACGCTGACACGCAATTTTTAAAAAAGTACAAATATGACACGTCATCGACACGTTGATTAAATTCTTAAAAAAATATAAATTTAGATTTATACGTGTTATCAATTTTTCTTGTTGAAAATTTTTAAACATGAGTACATATTTGTTATTTGTTAATAACTTTGTTATAGTATAAATTTAGTTTTATACTTATTAATTTTTCTTGTTAAAATCTTTTAAACATGAGTACCTATTTGTTACTTGCGAATAACTTTGAATTAACAATATATAATATTTTTAATATAAAAAGAAAAGTGATTACGGTAAAGTGTCCGAAAAGTGTCGATATCGACTCATGTCCGACACGTGTTGGACATGGACACAATACTCTAATTGAAGTGTCCGTGCTACAGAGGTTAGTGTAGAATTAGATAGTTAATCCTGCCTCTGTTGCTTCCCTGTTTGGTTCACATCAATGCATAAAGTGGGAAAATGAACTATCATGTGAAGCAAGTGTGAGAATGAAACCATAGTGACTTCACAAATAGAATAGACCTCACCGTCCCTTGATTGGTCACATACAGCCTAAACATTTTTTTTTGTTTGTTTCAAATTTACAGTTAAGTTGAAAGTTAATGGACAGCGCAAAGTAAGTTCACACACGGGGCTCTATGTTGGGTCTGCATCAATGACCTTTATTGACAAAACAAAGCGCAATTATTATATTATCAAGGTGATAGTAAATTTATGGTAACTCAGAGGGACTTCTTGATAACATAGAGCCAAGTAAATATATTTGTTACCACAGTATATCGACATTTTGGTCCTGCCAATGATGGAAATATTTGGGAAAGCATTTCCATAGAGCATGGAAAAATTCGAATCTTTAGTTGTACCTGTGGATATCGAGATGAAATAATCAGTTTTGACAAAAATGTTCTGTAACAGATCTTGTACTGCACAATAAGAAATGTTTTATTTGACTTCTACTTAGTCCAGAAACTGCACATAGAATGAAAATTTGGCTGTAGTCAAGTGCCTTTTTTTGAATTTTTTACTTATTGGCAATGACTTTTGTTGATTTTATTTTTATGTGAAATTTTTTTGTATTCAGATTTTAATGGTACTTCACAACAGAATATCTCTGTTAAAGTTTCATAATCTGGTTCATAGGTTTTTGTGTCTTTTAGTCTTGATGTCCTTTTGTTTTCTTATATCGAAAAAAAAACAAGTTTTCAACATAAAAGGGTCCTTGGATTATTCAATTTGGCAACATGCTTAAAATTTTACTCTATAATTGACATTTGAAGTTTGTTACATACTCAGATAATGATGTTTTCATTTGATTGTGTTTGCTGTCAAGGAAATCATATGTCCATCCTAAAAGCCAATTCTTATTATTTTCCTCTGTTATCAGTAAGTTGTCTTCACATATTCCTAAAAGTTGGTTAATTCATAAATTGTGGTAGTTGCACCATGTTTATTAGTGTTTCATTATAGTAGACATTGAAGGCTCTATAAACTCGTGAACGGGAAATGAATTGTCATAGCTAGAATTCCTTACAGTGATTTACTTGTAGAATGTGTATGACTTGGCTAGTCTTCAATATTTTGGGCTCATAGATCTCAAAGCTTCTGGCATAGATTGTGGATGAAATACCTTAATACTTATTATCTATGTTTTCCCCTATGTATAAGTAATGTTTCTAAGAAACTGACTTTGTTCACCATTATATGCAAACTAGAACAGCTAACGTGAAGACTGCTACAATTCTTAATGAAAAGTCAATTGCGAACAGTATTAAATCTAGAATAGCAAGTGAAATTTGTGCAATGAAGAATTCCATCGAAAAAAATTCCTGGATTAGGTATTCTTCTTGTTGGTAAAAGAATGGATTCACAATATTTTGTTCGCATCAAAGTAAAAGCTTTGCATTGTTTGTTTTCCTCTGATTTATTTTCAGGTGAGTGGTCCATTGAATTAAGAAATTAGATATTCAACTATTATCTTATATTTGACATGTTATTTCTTAACTGCAGCAGATATCTTACTGATCTCAATGTTAAATGTAAGGTTCTGATAATTGCTTTATTATTTGACTTCTTTAACTTGGCATTACTTTTTGCAGAAATGTTGTGAGGAACAGTGTTATTGCACCACACAATTTAGGGCATCACGCCAACTATTGTTTTTGGTTGTTAGTTACGAAATTGCCATGATAAGTTGAAAATGCTAATTCATGTCGTCTACAACAAAATGTAGTCTGGGCAATACCAGAGATCCACTTGATCAGATAGTTTGAACATGAGCCATAAGTTAAAAATTTATTGGGGGTCCCCGTACATTCATTCATTCTAATAAATCATGTACTGGAACAGCATTTGGACGAGGAGAAGATCATGAATTTTGTTAAGAGTAGAAAAGGATGTTGAAGGCTTCCATCCCCTTAATATGGGGAATCTTGCCATTCATGGAGGGGAACCACTGTTTGTTCCTTGTGCCCCCAAAGGGATGCATTGAGTTGTTGCTCCAATATGGTGTGGAACTCATTGGAAAGAAAGCGGTGGTAATCGGGAGAAGCGTCTCTTTCTTGGTCTATGCGAGTGAACATAATGAAAGGAGTTGCCAAATGCTTGGTTTATCTGCACGAGTATAGTCCTAAAAAGTATGTTCGCGGAGATCTGGAGCCTTCTAATATACTGATTGGACATGATATAGAGCCCAAACTCTCTGATTTTGGACTTGGGCTTGTCGCAAATATAGCTGGTGGATCCCCAACCCTGCAATCCAGTGGTATGGTCTCCGAGAAACCACAACACAGACAACAAGGCAGTACACTTACAGATTTGTTTTACAGAGAACCAATATACCAAAAGGAATACTTGTTTTATGATGTGTACCATTTTAGTGATGACCGGTGATATTGTCATTTTAAATATGTTATTTTTAAAATGGCGACATCAATATATAACTACGTAGAGTCCAAATATAACAATGAGAGGCAGAAGAGACGCAAGACAGAGGAGAATTTTGATCATTATATTTTTGATTTTTGGTTTTAAGTACTACTTTTCTTTTTAATATTTCTTAGTGGGTGTTTGGCACCCATTCTTTTGAAGAATGAGTTTTTGAATAGTGATTGATGTAAAGAATATGTTGTTAAAAAGAAAAAAAAAATTTTGGGTTTCTGTGTAATATTATTTTATTTGGAGAATGTGTGGTTAGAAATGAGTACTGTAGAAAAATGAAAATGAGATAAAAAATGAATGTCAAACGGGGAGTTTATTGGGTTGGGTTGAGCTTGATTGGATTTTAATAGATAACCTAAAATCCAACCTAACATGACCTAGAGTTTGATTTCCCAACCCGAACCCAACACAATTAAACTAAAAAACCAACGCAAACCAGTTGGTTTGGGTTGTGTTGATCGGTTTGATTAGTTCAGATTAATTTTTGCCCAATCCTATCAACAAGTATAAACTAATCATATTTAAACCATTATTTAATAGAATATAGAGGTATATTAGAAAAATGTAAGAAATAGAAATGACCATGTATTGGGTCCAATAAAAAGGTTGAAGGTTTGAGACGCTAAAGTCTATTCTAGAATCAAATATTTCACACACAAAATTCTCAATGTGTGACGTGTTTATTTCAAATAGACTTGTAAATGGATATTTAGAAGAAGTTTAAATTTTAAGATAACAATGTTAAATATAGTCAATATAGAATTGGATGTAAATAGTAGAACGTGTAATTTTCATCGCTACAAAAATAAAAGTTGTATCAATGATTTTGTATTGTAGTTTTCATGATGTTGCTTAACAAAACTTTCCCGCGCCTTTTCTTTTCAACAAAAAATATCTGGAACACTCAATCAATTCATAACTCATAAATTAAATTCTCAATTTGTTGACTAGTCGACAACTTTTCATCTTTATTTTTACATATATATAATATTTAACAGTTAGTCGATGCAATTCTCAATACCCTTGTTGAACCGGTCGCTTTAATATAATCTTTGTAAGGTTGAATACAACTTGAGCCAACACAATACATGTTCTTCAAATTTAGAATATTCATTAGAATAATCAAGTAATTTCCTCTATTTTAAAATTGCCAGATGCCATACTATTACAAGCCATCCTAGGGTGTACACCCCGAACGACCAACCATCCTCTCATAGGGGTAGGGCCTGGTAGAGTGGTTGCCTCACATGAGGTGGGTCTTCGAGACCCACATCATTAAAAAAAACCCCCCAAATGTTTTGTCACCCACCCCCCTGTCTCATTGGCTCTACCAAATCTTGTACCGATCTAATAGCGTAGCACGGTCCATAGAATAATTCTTATTGTGCATAATTTTTAATACACATTGGTGTTCAAACCCTCACACGGGTCATGTGGGTGAGATCCACTCAAAAGTTGGTCCCACTAATCAAATCAAATCAATAAAGTGCAACTTGAAAACTGGGCCCAATTTATTTATTTATTATATTTTAGTTATGCTTATCTGTATATTTGGCTATTTGTGATATTTGCGACAACCTCCCCAATTTATTGGTGGTCAACACACATCACATTGCAAGTTCCAATTATTTTAATATTTCCATTTACTGAGACGATCCTGTGATAGAGACTTTAACTCTGGTTTGATCCTCATTACTTTTAAAATATATTTTTTCTCTTATTTTCAACAATATATTTTTTAATAAAAGAATAGTACATGTAAACTCAAATTTTTTCTTTTTTCTTTTTTAACCACACCCCTCCATTAAAATACTATTTCAAAATGTATTTTCATCAAAAAATAGGCTCAAACATGCTCTTAATTTTCATATATTTATATTAAAGAAAGCCTGATAAAACTGTACGCACTTGATTAGATATACAATTTTGCCTTGGGTAGTCTAAAATTAATTTTTTAGTGCATTTTTATGAAAGTTTACAAAATGAATAATTAAAAAATTGTGGGTCCAATAAAATACGTAGTTAAATTTAATTTGAAATTTTGATAAATTTCAATCTACACCAACACATGAGCTATATCTTAACGTAAGTGATAACGGGTTTAGACGTGTTTAGAATTGTTCATAATCTCTATAAATTATAAATAGGGAGCATTCCGTCTTAGAGGGAAACCTCCGCAGGAATAGCGATGACAGTGGCGGAAGCGAGAATTTCGACTTGAAAATGCAAATATTGTCATAAAAATGAGTGATGAAGATATGTCGTACTTATAGATTTAACTAAATATATAGATGAAAAATAATTTTAACAATTATAAACAAATCATAAATAGGTGCCGACAAGGTCATTATATTTAGCCCATGTTTGGTCTGGATTAAAATTTGATTTTAATTTAAGTTAAAGTCGGACAATCAATATTAACCACATCTTTCATGGGTCTCACAATTTTTCAACTATGTATTTCAAAAATTTCTATCATAATCTAATAAAAATATAATTTTAATTTTATGAACTTCGATTCAAAATAATTGTAATGACATAATTTATGAGTCATATTTAATCAACGATAATAATGAGAAAAATATCTTAACAAAGTTTAATTTATAATTTATAAAGTCTAGGAATAAATTAATAAAAGTATGATAATAAGTTCTATCTACGTTTGTTTATATCATTGATAACATTGGTGTCCATAATCGTTGTTGAAGGTGCATCGACAATTAATATAGTATTTCTACCTATAATTCTGTCCAAACCTTTGAGAGATTAAGAGTGTGTTTGGTAGGGATTTTTGGGGGAAGAATTGATTTTTGAATAGTGATATGATGAGAAATATGTGGTTGAAAAAGAAGAAAAAAGTATTGATGGGATGAAAAATATTATTTTATTGAAAAATGTGTGGTTGAAAATGAGAATTGATTTACTGTAAAAAATGAGAATCTGTACCAAACAGACTCTAACTAATAAACAAAATTAAATACTAATGAAAAATTATGTCATAAATAACATGACAGCTAGAAATTAACTATCCATAAGTAAATTATAAAGAAATAAATGTTTAAATTGGATAGTTATTAACTCTTAGAAGAACGCATAAAGAATAAAAACTCATGTCAATGGTACATATTATAATAAGACTAATGTTCTGTAGCACAACTGATATTTAACACCAATTTAGGTGACATCAATAGTGTTATTAAATTACAGGTTCCATTAAATAAATCATACAATTTCACCTCGAATTGAACATATTATATATTGCCTAATAGACCAGTGTTCTCGCACCATTTGTGCCAGATAACACTATTCTTACGATAAATTATCGAAGCATCATTAATAGGTGTGAACAACACCATCTACAATAATCAATAATGCTTCGCTAATCTCTAATATTATCGTTGTTAATAACTTTTCTTTGAGTTATCGATATATATAAATTCTCGTCAGAATCTTAGTCGTGTAATAACTTTGACGATCACCAACTGAAATTTCGCTAGTGATTATTCGTCACATTAATTTCTTATTCTAATTTTCTAAAAGACGTCGACAATTCTGCCTAAAATCCCTCGAGTCGCCAGAGTTGATTATGAGATTAGAATAGAACTCATTTAAATTTATTTTTAAGTAAATTTTTGCCTAAGAACGATAGTATTTACTTGCCAATGTGTAACTTCTGTTATGGCCATGCCTTGACTGTTGTTTGTTAACCATAGCTTTGTAGTTTCTAGCATCATGCAACAAAGGTAGTTGACTTTTAGAACTCCAATCTGAAAATTTATTTTAATTTATTTTCACACCACTTGTGTAACTCATTCATTGAGACTCACATTTTCTAGACTCGTCTAGCTCGAAAAAGACATTTATTATAGGAAGGCCGGCCACTACATACGTCACCATCATTCTAGGAGAGAAGCAAGATTCCTTTCCTTGATCCACTGTCCCAAGCAGGGAAGAGAACTCAAATGGAGAGCAGATGGTGGTCGTTGTAAATTCTAGTAGCTTATGTTACTTTTCTACCGTTTTGCATTTCCTCTGGTTGGCCCCTTTCCCTTGTACTAGAGCGATTTGTAAAGAACAATTAGGATCATATTCTATCATTTCTACAATGTCCATGGACTAAGAGCTTCATTTCAATTCAATTCTTCGTTGCAATTGCCTGGACCCATCCCATGGTGAAAAACCATAATAAATCCTGAAGAATTCATTCCAACAGACTTCCCTGTTGTGTTTTGATATTCAATAAATTTCGGATTATGATGTTAAACCGGTTTATTGTTGAATTATACTTCATAGGCCTCGGTCGTTGACTGAAGCTGTGAATCGACACCACGATTGTCTAAATTTATCACGTAACTCACTTGAGCCATTTGAAGTAGCCTAATTATATCAGTGTTGCTCATGACTCAACCCAAGTACTTGGAAGGTTTTAAGGATGTTAGCCTATTATCCCATTTGTTATCGGGCTCTACTATTTGACCTAAAGCCCATGTTTATTCCTAACCTATTTATTGGTTGTCCATTACTGTTTTAGCGAGTGAAAGATTGTTGAGCGGCCGTGTATTCTTGAGAAAATTGATTCCTCCTCTTCTTTGCTTTGTGCATTGGTTTAGTGCTTTACTTGGGAGATCATTTTCTCTACCTAGCCTTTGTGGCTATTTCTTCTAGGCTGTAATCTTCTCACCCCAATCTTTTGTGGGCTATAATCTGTGGAGCAACCCGTGTGCTACTTGGGTGGTGTTTGGTTTGTGTTGTGGTTTGCATTGTGGTGTCGATTGGTTTGGAGACTGAGCCCGGTTATTGGTTAATTAGAGTCCCAATATTCAATATTCCCTATACTAAAAGTGAATTGTCTAAGTTATCTATCTCGTAATTATTCGATGTTGCCTCTACAAAGGCTAGCTCCTCTTCCTTCTTTTCTTCTTTCATCGTAGTTAGT